AGAAGAGATGATACAGAAAAAATTTTCGATTTCCTATTATTCTTCCTTCAGATCATCCTATTGTAGTAAAATTAATTAGAGCTAAACATGAAATTAACAATCATGCAGGGGTACAATTTTTATATCCACTTTATGAGAACATATTGGATTTTGAAAAAACACGAAAAAACTGTCAAGAAAGTCATAAGAAGCTGTGTTGTATGTCAGAGGTTCAATACTAGTTCTTTGAAAACACCCATTGCTCCTCTCCCTGAAGACCGAGTAGAGAAGCAGCAGTCTTTCAGATTGTAGGTGGTTGACTTGACTGGACCGTTGATTTGAAGGGAAATCAAAAAATCATGGATAGTGATTTTTACCTGTGCTGGTTTTTCGCGCAGTACATTTGGAATTGATTTTCTCGCTATCAACTAAATTTTCTACAAGCGCTGAGAGACGTTTCATTGCTAGACATGGAAGACCCCACAATCATCTATTCCAACATGGAAACGAATTTCAAAGGAAGTAATAGAAATTATCAAAAGCTTAAATTGGGATTTAAAATCTTAGAAACAAGCTAGTATATCCACAGGATCACATGGAAATTTCTTTCGCCATCAGCTCCCTGGGGGGGAGGATGGTAGGAGCGATTTAATAGAAGTCCTGAAAAGAATCTTCGCAAAGTTTTAGGACGATCATCTCTGAATTATGAAGAAATTGATAACAATTTTGTGTGACTGTGAAGCAATAATGAATAATCGTCCATTGACGAATGTCTCGGAAGATGTTGAAGATTTATCTCCGATCACACTTTCCATGTTTCTCTATGAGATTCGACAAATTGGAGTTCCTGATCTGGATAATATAAATGCGAAAGCTTTAAACAAAAGGCTTACTTATCGACAAAAACTTTTACAAGATCTATGTAAAAAATTTCGAATCGAATATCTCGGACAGTTACAGCAAAATTATGAACATATAAAAGCTTAACAGCCTTTCAGAATAGGAGATCTTGTTTTAGTGTCCGATGATAGCAAGAAGCGAACAGACTGGTTATTGGCGAAAGTAACCGAGATTTTCAAATCTTGGGATAGACATGTGCGTTTAGTTAAGGTCAAGACTAAGCTTGGAGAAGTTTGCGACCAACCAAGCGTTGTATCCTTTTGGAGATAACATCATCAGATGAACAGTCTAGATTTAGAAATATGGCAAGCAGCTCTTCTGATGAAACAGAGACTTACTGCGATCCTGATATTCGTAATGACTTGCCTCAAGATCTTAAGAGCGAAAAGATTCCATCGATGACTACAAGAAGTGGTCGAATGGTAAAGCCTGTTCAAAGGTTACAGTTTTAAATTTGATTTTTAAGCAAATTTAAAGGTGGGAGTATGTTGAAACTCTCACCGACAACCATGTGATTTGCGCATGCGCACAGCAAAAACTAAAACAGAACTTTTTTAACTGAACTTTGAGAACTTGTAATGGACGTTTGAGTGAAACATGTAATCCTTCTCTTCTGTGTTATATATATTTTAGTTTAGTGATGTGATTGTAAATTAAATATCTTATTATCTTAGAAGCCTTTCTCTTTCTAAGAGTAGTGCATTGATGAATGAAAATACACGCTCCTGGATACGCCTTTGGATTAGAAAGAAGATCGACTAAAAGGTAAGCCTTTCTACCTTTTATTTTATAAGAATGATTATACTGTTAATCATATCATAAATTATACAATGGCATTGCTCTGTATGTACACAATGAGCTGCTTAAAATCACACAAATAACCACCATGGAATTTGCATTTTTACACACTCTAGTATTAGACAAAAAAGCATATTTCTGAAAAAATGCCACACTTTTTTTTCATTAACAGGCAAAATTCCACGATGGCATTTAGATTCATTGTAAGAAAAAACTCCACTCACTAATCACAACAAGCAGAAACTACACACATGGCCCTTAATTTTAAAACTGCATACATTACACAGTGTGCCATTAGCAGATTGCTGAATAAATATATTTTCATAAAATTCTAGGCTGCCTACTTTGGTGACATAGCATTTTTCTCTAGTGATTCTTGTCAGGGTTGGGCAGATAATTTGAGAATAAATGAAAGCCATTGCTAATTATATGTGTCATGCCATGCTAAAAGTTTTTTTTTTTTTTTAATAAAACAGTATAAGATTTTCAAAATTGAATATGATTTAAAAAAAAAAATCGTCTTAACAAAACCAAATCATGAATTCATTATATTTAAATTTATTCAATTACCTCTTCATTATCACTTCATATTTACGAGGGCCATCCAGGAAGTAGATTACGTTTCCGTCTGTGTCCACTAGGGTCGGGGCTAGCGCGGCCATCTTGGGGGTCGAGCGTTGCGCAGCTCAGTCTGCATCTAGCCGTGCTAGTGAGAGGTTCGTGCTGTCTCCGTTCAGATACTGTGACGTTTGAAAATGGTCTGCGTTAATTGAAAATCCCTCCGCGAGCTGCGAGGTGCGCTCAGTAATAAGGTTTCTGACTGCAAAAAACTGTAAACCGATAGAAATCTATTGGCAGCTTCGTGAAGTGTATGGGGACAACATTATCACTGAAGGTGGAGTGCGTCAGTGGGTCATAAGATTTCAAAATGGCCGAACCAATGTTCACGACGAAGATCGAAGTGGGAGACCCAGCATAGTGACCGCCGCCGAACTTCTCGAAAAAGTCGATGCTAAAGTCCGTGAAAAATCGAAATTTCACAATAACGGACTTTCTTTGAGTTTTCCACAAATTTCGCGAAGTTGTTGCACGAAATCATCAGCGAAAAGCTTGGTTACCACAAGTTTGTGCAAGATGGATTCCAAAATTTTGCAGAGGACCACAAAAATCAGCGAATGGCTGCACAGCGTTGAACTTTTTGGACGCTTCCATAAGGATGGTGACTCTTACTCGTTACAGTCCCGACCTGGCACCGGCGACTTCCACCTATTCCCAGCAATGAAGAAGTGGCTGGCTATGCAGCGTTTTGATGACGACGCACAGCGCAAGAAGAGGTAACGAAGTGGTTTGAAGGCGCAGGCGGCCGAATTTTTCGACGAAGGAATTTCCAAGCTCGTACATCGCTACGATAAATGCCTTAATTTGTATGGTAAACTATGTAGAAAAGTAGTATTTGAGTGTGGCTTTCATCTGTATATAATAAAATTTGTTTCCTATACTTTGTTTATTTTTTTATTCCAAAACGTAATCTACTTTCTGGATAGCCCTCGTATATTGCTCTAGCTTTAAATTTTACCACTCTTAATACATTTTAGTTGCAGTAAAACAAAATACAATGAAAATCCAGTATCTAATAGTTTGGTAAAACTGATAATCTAGCACATTTAATGACATGCTACTAGTAGCCACTGGCAATACACAAAAGACTTGGTAGCTTTGTGTTTTTTCTGCCATTTTTTGCTAGTCACTTAAAACTTTGTATTTACATATCAAGTGTTCTTTAGGTCCAAAGTGGCTTTGTCTCTGAAGGACTACTGTCTCGTTTAGCGATTTTGTGTTGAAAACTTAAGCCATCCAATTTTGAATGACTTAATCCTACTGTGAATATGGGCATCTGGAAGCCCAAATTTGGAATTTGTTTTATTTTCCATTGCATATTTTGTAAAGCTTTAGCGAATTTTTGATTAACAATTTTAAACTTAACAATTTAAAAGCGAGCAATGGCAACACTCTATAGGGGAAAAAAAACTTTTTACTCTACAGCGCACAGAACTGTGTATCAGAAATTCTAAAGATATGCTCATTTTAAAATTATTTTGCAACATTGCTGTTGAACTGAATTTTACGGTTTAAGTGCAAAGAACATGATATTTAATAAATAAAGGCAACACACAAAACGTTAAAAAAACGCCCCTTTGGACGTAATTTAAAATCTGAAACCTTTCATACTCTTTATTATTATTTATTTATTTTTTTTTTATTTATGATAATTTCAAAAACTGATCAAAGTTTTTATAAAAGAATAAAGTAAAAATGTGACTTTAACAATTCATGAAAAGATGAATGTTATTAATTAATTACAAAAATGTGAAAAGGAATTATAGTAGACGGATTTGGCACCAGATCTTCAGCTCATTACCTCTACAAATAAACAATGAATAATCCGTTTATATACATGTTTCTTGCATTCAGGAAAAATGACATCACCTACAATAGCCACCAAATTTTGAATACACAAAATTCTCCACCCAATTATGTGCACCTCAAAGACTGAATTTTGAATTTTTCTTTTTTATTTATTTACTTCATATTTTTTTATCAACGATTTTATAGAAAGACTTCAGATTCTAAAAAGAAGCAAAAGACCTGACTTCTGAAAAAGAAATTTACCATATTAAGGTAAAGGCTCAGTTTCTAAATGTTTTGCACAATCCAATTAAGCTTTTATTTGAAAAATAAAATATACTGTTACCTCACCTCTACTCACTAGATTTCACATTTGCAAACTATTTTGTTTCTTAAAATCAAATTTTATGTTAAAAACAATTTCAACAGCATTTAAAAAATTCAAAGAAATATAAGAAATTAAAAACATTTCCTAATTTCCACAGACACATTCAGCAGTTCTACGTACACACAAAGAGATATACATTGTTAGAAGGATATACATTATTCTATTATTAAAGAGATACACATTATTCTTTTATGCAATATAAAAGAGTTGTACATTATTAGAAAGGTTAAAATATATTATATAATATGTAAATATATGTAAAAGTATATATGTAAATATGCCAATATATATTTATAAATTTATATTATATATTTTATTTATAATAGACATAAGTAAATAATATGTAAAAGGTAAAAAACAATGAAGTAATTTTCTTCAAATATCAGTTATTTTAATTTACATAATTATTCATTAAATTCAGTCTTAAAATTTTGTACGCACTTAGAATACAAGAAATAAGATGCTAAATTACGATTCATTCCCCCCCCCAAAAAAGCTTCAAAATATAACTATTTATAATGAAAATTACCTGAATAATAAATTCTTCATCCCATACTGGATTCAAAGTCTTGGAAGACAAAAAATGAAAATGTTAAAATCGCACAGCTTCATTAGGTAAAAACAGTTTTTATTTCTATGATAATTTCTAAATTTGCTTTTTTTAATAAATAAATAAAATAAAGTATATTATCAAAAATGTTTACATTTTATAGAGATATTTTTATGTCTACAATTTATGATAAAAATAACAAAAGTATGCAATATACAAGGGAATTTGAAAAGAACGATACTTCGTTTATTTTCTTTAAAATAACTATTATGATAAAAAATTCACTAAAATGGCTATTGACAAAAGAAATAAAAAAAGTTTTATTAATATGGCAAACATGCACGAAACATTTCTGTGTATGTGACTATCAGCAAAATGACAAAACACTAATACCAACTGATATTACATTCTCTTACTTTTTTTATGCAAGTGCCATAAACACTGTGAGTGGTATTTGCATGTAAAGGTCTGCTAGAGTTTAAAAGCACATTCAGAAAGCCATCAAAATTATTTGAGAAAGAACTTGCAGAAGTATCAGTGATAAGAATTCTATTATTATTTGAGACATGTGCCTAAGATGGTTCACATACTGAAAATTGGTAAATTTTATGACATACATAAAATTTTGATATTTCTTACGATCAAAGAAATGTAAATTAATCAAGCATTTGAGAATAAATAAATAAAATGTTTTTTCTAACTTACATCTGGCAACCGTAAAAATGCCAAGACACACGGGCGTCAAACACGTAAACTATGTTAATCACGTGATATTAATATATCCCACGATCCTCTTGTTCTTTAGTTATTACTTAAGCTACTGTATGTGCTTGTGTTAACATTAATGTATTTACCGCTTATATTATTTTAGTTGCAGTTCAATAAATATGTTATTAGTGTTTAAATCTGCATCGTATTATTTATGGATAAATCCCTCATATAATAAACATCAATAGTTTTGGAGACTCAACTGCTGCTACCGAGTGCACAAAAGGTAAGCTGATTTTGCTATCTTTATTCTTCATTGATTATGAGACTGATCTCGTTGTAAATCCCAAAACTAAAATTTATACTGTGCATATAAACTTTCTGAAAGTGCTAAGTAAGAATTAATAATGGCACAGTCAAGTCTTAAGGATTGTATGCAAATAACTAAACTGAATTCCGAAAACTATGCTACAGTCAAAAGTCGTTAATTCGGACACCCATAATCCGGAATGATCTATAATCCGGACCTCAAAGCTACAAACTTTCTGCGCATGCTTCGCGTTCACGCATGCGCACAGGCGTTTACGAGAGCGCGTAAGACCCTTACGGCTGCGAATATGTTTGTGCGCATGCGCGTTTAATTTTTAACGGAGTTATACGCTAAGCTAAAGTTATCTAATTCAGTTAATGTTGCAGATTGCGTTGTTCCTTAAACTTCAAATTGGATCCGGCTTATTATTTTTTGCAGACTGTTAGAGAAATTTTATAAAAGTAAGCTTGAACTTTCGATTATGTCAAATAGAATTTCCGATATATATATACTACAAAGCGAAAGTATGTTTTGAAATCCGAAATCTGTTTATCAATTTCACGCTGCTCTGCGGCACTTACATTGAAGGAAATGTTTTAATAAAGTAAACAAATAAATTAAGCTTTTTCTTTTTGTAAATTTTGATACCCTTTAGATCATAATTGTTCTTTATTTCATAAATTATTACGGTTTATATTTTTAATTTTGTAATTTTTGCATGCCATCTTTTACCAGATTTAAACTGATGATCTATAATCCGGAAAAATCGATAATCCGGAATCGCCGAAGTCCCGACGAGTCCGGATTAACGACTTTTGACTGTACTTGGAAATTCAAGATTCAAGTGCTTTTAATGCGTGATAGGTTAGATGATCTGCTTTATTCTCTCCCACCTTCTAAACCTGATGATGAATTTTTAAAGAGGGATAAACGAGCACGAGCTATAATAAATCTATGCATTGATGACTCTCAGATTATTCATGTTAGAGATGAAACGACTACCGCCGGTACATGGCAGAAATTAAAGTCAGTTCATGAGCGCTCAAATTTGAGTAGCAAATTATATCTTCTGAGAAAATTATATTCAATAAAAATGGGAGAACACGGTGATATGATCGCACACATCACTCATATGATGGACTTGATCGAAAGACTGAAAGCTATTGGTAAGAACATTCCAGATCAGCATGTAGGCTCACTTTTGTTAGTTTCGATTTCCTAATCATACAGTAATCTTATAACTGCCATTGAAGCTAGAGAGGAAATTCTTATAACTACAGATCTTGTAAAAACAAAACTCGCTGACGAGTACAACAGAAGATTAGAACAACAAGCAGATCGAAGTTCTAATTCTTCAACAATGTTTAAATCTGCAATAAATGCAAGAAACTTTGATAATAATCAAAAAGAAATTTTGTACCTTTTGTAAACGCAATGGTCATACTCGTGAGTGTTGTTATAAATTGAAAAACAAAAATAACAATTCTTGTCCTGACAACTCAAAATCCGAAAATCGCGTGACCAAACATGTTGGAAAATCGAACCGGCATTGCATGAGGGCAGACACATCGGTTAAAAAAAGTTATAAAGCAGATGCCAATTGTCGTCTGTCAAAAATGCTGTTTATAAAAAGGGTTTAATAATTACTCCACGATATTGCTCAGAACAAAATATAAATGAAAAGATTTTGTACCTCAATTCAGTCATCTAATAAGAGATAAAAGTTTGTTTACAGAAAGAACCGAGATATGAGGATACTCAAGCAAAAATCATTTTAGCGGATGGAAAAATTTTATATTCGCAGGGCAGAGGATTTGTTGACCTTGATTTAGAAGATGAATGTGGATTACAGAAAATTCGGTTGACTGATGTTTATTACGTTCCTGATTTAAAGAGCAACTTAATTTCCGTTAAGCAAATTGCTAGTAAGGGATATTCTGTTACTTTCGAAGTGCACGTAATCTGATGATAATAGTGATATAAAATTATTTTAATAAAAAAATTCAGAAAGTGCGAATTTTGCAGTTGAATGTAAAAATAAAAACTGTATACAAATATGGCATTCTAGGTTAGGTCATCAAAGTTATGATGCAATCAGACAATTAGTAAGAGAAAATCTTGCAGAAGGAATAAAATTAGATAATTGCAATCATAATGAAACCTGTTCAGAATGCATAAAGAATAAATGCAGCAAATTCCTTATCCAAAGCTGCTAGCGTTCGAGCAAGAAAAACCACTAGAACGTATACATAGTGACATTTGCGGAACCTATGCCTACTCCAAGTAGTGGTGGAAAACTTTATTTCGTAACATTATTGATGACTTAACTAGGATACACAGTCATCTATTTACTCGCTAAAAAGAATGAGTTCTTAGTAAATTAAAAGGACTTTGTCGGTATAAAACAAGAATAAATTTGGGAGAACCATACAGACTCTTTGAACCGATAATGGTGGTGAATATACCAGCAAGGAAAGGGAAAAATTTCTATCGGATAACGGCATCAAGCATCAAACTAAATGTTCCCTTTTCGCCTCCTCAGAACCGTGTGAGCGAAAGAAAAAAATAGAAGTCTTACTGAGATGACCAAGTGCCTGCTGTGTCCCAAGGCCGACTTTCAGACAATTTTTTGGGTGAAGCTGTCAACACAGCAAATTACATCCAGAATCGCCTTCCAACCAGAGCTGGTGATAAGACTCCCTATGAATTATGGAGGGGAAGAAAACCTAATTTAGCTCATATGAAACAATTTGATTTGCACAGCTTATGCATATGACATAAGGAAAACCGTAAAAAAATTAGACCAGAAAGCGATTGAAGGAATTTTTGTCGGTTGCGATCAACGATCAAAAGGGTACAGAATCTACACAGGTAAAAACCATATAATTATCAGTAGAAGTGTAAAATTGTCGAAGAATTATCAGCGAATGAAAATATTGAAATTTAATTTCTCTCATCCAAAGGTGAAGATGTTGAAAATGATGAAGAAGCTGAAGAAAAACACAAAATTGTATCCAAAGAAAGAGCCAAGACGATCAGAAAGGAAAACGAAGGGATACCACTAGAACGTTTAGGATTTCTAACAAACACATCAAAAACCATTCCTGGGAATTTTAAAGACTTAGATAAATTGCATTCCGAAGAAAGGAAAAGTGGTTACTCGCAGTTCGATGAAGAAATCAATTCCTTATCCCGAAATACAACTTGGGAACTGGTGGAGCTTCCTGTAGGAAAGAAACCTATTGGGCTGTCGATGGATTTTCAAACCGAAAAGAAAATGAAGATGGAACAGTCATTCGTTACAAGGCGCGACTAGTTGCTAAAGGTATGGTCAAAAATTTGGAACTGATTATGATCATACCTTTGCACCAGTAGTTCGACATACAACTATCAGAACTTTTTGCTGTCGCAGCATATGGTAAAATGAATGTGAGGCACGTAGACGTTACTACAGCATTTCTACGTGGAAATTTAGAAGAAGAAATATACATGGAACAGCCAGAAGGCACTGTTCAACCCGGACAAGAAGAGAAGGTTTGCAAACTGAAAAAAGCTATTTATGGATTAAAGCAAGCTGCCAGAGCATGGCATAAAAAAGTTGAAGAAGTGTTAAAGAATAGCAACTTTTCGCAAAGCATGGCAGACCCATGCTTATTTCTAAAGAAAGATGGAAATGACACGATAATGATTATTGTCTATGTCGATGATATCCTTATCGCATGTAAAAGCAAAGAAAAAATCAAAAGGCTAATCAAATCTCTCAATGAATTCTTCGAAGCAAAAGATTTAGGAGAAATCGAAAACTACTTAGGAATCAACATCAAAAGAGATGAAAACAAGTTTCTTTTGAGTCAAAAATCAAAAATAGAAAAATTGAAGAAGATATTTTGTCCAGATATCCACAAACCATCTTACACACCAATGGATACTTCTTATCCAAAGGAAGAAGACATCTCTCCACCAGTGGACAATACGAAGTACAGGCAAGCCATTGGAGCCTTATTATACATAGCCACTGTAA